CATAAGATGCATTATATTGCATAATGTTATTTCCTCTCATACTGTAAATTAAAGAGCGCATGCTAAGACGTTATAAAATACCCTGGAATACCCTTTATTTATAAATACCCTTTGGAGAAAAATTTTTTCGTTCGAAAAATTCATTCAATTCAAACAGCTTAGGTTCTCCGCCGACCGCCGCGGAGTACCGACTTCCGCTGACGATCGCCGTCGCGTAGCGTGCAGTGATGTCGCAGCGCTCTGTTCAGCAGAAGTACCGCGACGGAGAATCCGCCCGTAGCGAAAGGGTTAATAATCAAAAATAGTTACGTCCATGTTATATTAAATCGACAAATTCGCGTTGAAAGAAATGCATCTCAGAACGCAAGCAACATGAAATCGAACGTTTTACGGCATCCGAACAGAAGAAAGTGAGCTAATTTTTGCTCGATGGAACGTCTGAGAATTAATTAATTTAATTTCAGTACACATAACGGTTGTTGCCTGTTTATTGGTACATTGTTTAGGTTAATGTTAAATGTGTATAACATTTCCCTCTCGAGACAATATGATTCACCTTGTTGCTATACTGCGGTTCTTTCTGCGTGCCATTTTCGCGCGCTGTATTACGAAAATTAACGTTTTCATTCTGGACAGGATATTATTAATATTATTATTATTGATAGACTGCGGATTTTATGAATTTATGGGAAAAATATATCGGCGAAACATAGAATAGCGAAAAAATTAAAAGAAACTAAAAATGTTGATATATTAAGTGCAACTTATTAAAATTATTTTACGAAAAAATCAAATCACACTTGGTTCCTATACGTCTTACAATTACTGCAGACAATATTTATTTCGCATAAGGATCCGCAGTCTAGTTATTAATTTTACAAAATAAAGACTCGTTGTTTCCACGCTAAATTTTCCATTCGCGTTGTCACCGCTCGCGGAAGATCAACAAAAGCGTGGCAACAAATGGCCATATACATACTGCTAGTCATGCCGGATGTAATAATTAACGATACCGTTGTCGAGGCTGCGAGATCGCTTCGATTTCCCCTAGGTTCACTGAAAAACGGAACCAGTCCGGTCGGTTCACTTCCCATCGCTCCAACCAGGAAATAAACTCCAAAGTTGTTCTTATCGAGGCTTCTCGTCGAACCAGATTTTTCTCTTTTCCACGACACTTTTTTCTCCCCCCGACAACGATCGATAAAGATACCGGAAAAGGATTGCACCAAAGTAGTCGTCGAGTAATTAGTAACGATTTCCAGTCGGTCTGTCGGTTTCGGACGGATCCCGTTTTACTCCCGACTATACTAAAATAGCAGCGGAACTGTCTCCAACCATGGATTTTCAAACGGTTCGTTCTTTCTTGGACGAGAAGTTTTCAAGTTCAACGAACGAGTTTTCTGCTTTGCATGTTCGCAGAACTTGTCCGATGAATTATTTAAATACTATTATTTGCACATCTCTGTCTGGTATGCTATTTGACCGGAACTATGATTGTCGCACGCGCCACCGGAAGTCCATCTTTCGATGAAGTGAAATTTCTAGTATGTAAAAGACTTCCGCATCCGAATTGATTTCATGCATTGTGTATTCCAGACAGAAATTGTATAGTCAGTCCCGGACAAATTGCCTGCATGCGAATGAGCAAATGGACATCGAGAGAGAACCAGAGATGTTTCGCAACGATGTCGTGCATATATCTCCTGTCGCCACTAATCACTATTTAGTATTCTTTCAACTAGTAATTATATTTTTAACTGTATTACTGTGTCGATCATAAATATTCGTACTATCTCGTAAAAAGAATAGCAGTAAATTGTAAAATGTACAGTAAATTCCCCCCGATTTTCCTTCAGCTTACAAACAAAAATGAACAATTTGGGAAGATGAGCCTAATTAGGAGCCTTATTAAGAGGAGCTTTAAGAGGAGAATTATTCTAGTTTTTATAATCGTTGACAATCGGTAACTATAAAAATGAGACGCGAGTCTCGAATAATCGTATCTCCTCTTTCCAAATTGTCCATTTTTGTTTACAAGCTTATAATAAAGTAGAGAGAATTTATTGTATTTTAAAAATTCAGAGGAAAGTGAAGTGTGCGTGCACGTAGAAATATAGTTGAAAAGATACGACACATTTATCGCTGTTATCATTATTCTAGACATACTCAACAGCCATCAAAATTGTGTAACTGAGAAAAAAGTTTTCTGTCACCGAGATCGTAATTCAGCTTCTAAGCTTTGGTGCAGCACAGCGCGTCGTGACTTCACAAGAATAAAAAAAGAATTTGGAGGGTTCCGTAACACTGCAGCAAACGAGATGTATGCCATGAAAAGGATGTCCCACACAAAAAGATATTTTCGTCATAGGGCATGGGTGTCAAGCCGATAATATCACAGGGTGGCACCAGAAACGTTTTTGTTACCATACGTTGTATATATGACTGGTATAGTAACCGCGTACGAAGCCACGAAGAGAGGTATCAGTGCATCCGAAGATGTTGTTCGCGACGATCTCTCTTTTACTTCTGCTCTGCATCTTCTGCGTCCACGATTGCCTTAAACCGCGCAATTTTCCGCCTGGTGCGTCAACGTGCTGTGAATCATTAGCAAATTGACCCATGTTGTAATCAGCACCCGATATTACGTTATTCCACGCAATAATTGTACACCGGAAGAATCGATTCTGTGAATTTATATAAACATTCGTCCACCATTCCGTTAGATACTGTAAAACATGCTATTCCTCCACGATCGTGCTGCAATTTTGGTGCATTTATTCGAAACATGGAGAACAGAATTTTTTGTTTGTTGAATTAAAGTTGGTGAAATGTCGCAACGAACATTACCGTACCTATTTCTGAGGAATATTCCACGGTCGAGAATATTTTCACTGTCGTTAAACGACACGATTTACAATTTCTCCTCGGAAATAATTTCTTCAATTTTTTATATCTTTATTCAGCAAATAATGTTCCATGCATCGTTTTATGTTCTTATCGTTATCGAATAAGATGTTATTATTTACATTTACTCTGACTTTTAGTTGATAACTTGATATGGAAAGTTATAAGACGATGTTCATCTCTGTTGCTTAACGATCGGACAGGTCCGCAATGGCTGCCGTTTTTCGGTTGCTTCCTCTCGTTCCAACGATTGAAACGGAAACACGGATACGGCTATATGGCGTTCCGAGAGCTGACGAAAACGTACGGGCCGATTTTGGGCCTGAAATTAGGAAACCAGAAGGTGGTCGTGATCTTCACGCACGATCTGGTGAAGAAAGTCCTCCTTCGGGACGAGTTCAATGGCAGACCGGACGGATTCTTCTTCAGGGTTCGCGCGTTCGGAAAAAACAAAGGTTATTTTGGCTAATAGAATTTGCCTCGGGAACCAACCTGTGGAATATCCATGTATGTAACGAGCATCGACTTTTATTCCCGCTTACCTCTGCACTAGGTATTTTGTTTTCTGAGGGCCCGTCGTGGTCCCAGAGTCGTCGTTTCACCATGCGCCATCTTCGAGCGTTCGGCTTCGGGCAATCGATCATGGAGAAGCACACGAAAATCGAGGCGGAGAGCTTAGTTAATCATCTCCGTCGCGCCAGCGAGAAAGGCCCGGTTCTCATGCATACGGCCTTCGACGTTGCGGTTTTAAATGCACTTTGGTGCATGTTCGCGGGTCACAGGTTCGACTACGAGAACAAGAAGTTGAAGGAGATACTTGACGCTGTTCACGATGCATTCAGGTAGATTAAAAGACAAGTCCGAGCGATTTTTAACGTTGGATTTCATTAATAGTTGCCAATGATTATGTTCATAGTATCGTTCGGATAATTGCGGTAAATTCTTCCCAATTTTTTCTTCGACTTGTAAACAAGAAGGGATCGTTTTGGAAGAGGAGATACGATTGTTCGAGCCTCGTCCATTTTTCTTTACAAGCTGAAAGAAAATTATCGAGAATTCACTGTATATCTGAAATAGACGTAACAGCACGTCTGCAACATCATCGGCTCGTTTCTATCGCAGATTGATGGACACAATGGGCGGAATAATTTCGCAAATGCCGTTCCTACGTTTCATAATACCAGAGTTGTCGGGTTACAACGATTTAATGAAGATCCTTCGGAAGCTGTGGAGCTTCTTGAACGAGGAGATCAGCGAGCACGAGAAACGGCTGTCCGGAAGTCAGCCTCAAGATCTGATCGACGCCTTCCTCTTGGAGATCTCTGCCAATAATGGCAGTCGTGACGACACCATATTCGATCGTGAGCAATTCTAACAAAATATTTCTAATCTCGGTGAATCGTTCGCCTGGATGTTATCACAGAGATTTTTAATACCGTCAGGAGAAAGTTTGCTTGTTCTGTGCCTGGACCTCTTTCTGGCCGGCTCGAAGACCACGACCGACACCTTGGCGTTCATTATGCTGTTCTCGTCGTTGCATCCGGAATGGATTAAAATACTGCAAAAGGAATTGGACGACGTTGTCGGAAGAGCGCGGTTTCCAACTCTGGAGGATCTGCCGTCGCTGCCGATGATGGAGGCGTTCCTCGCGGAGGTAACCAGACGATTAGCATGATAGATCGAAGTATTCGCTAACTTTCAAACATTCTCTTCGAACCATTCTCTTCTATCGAACCATTTTTTAAATTTGAAACGAAATAAAAGCGCAAACATTCGTTGCGACGAAGTATTATATTGGGTTGGGGAATAAGTTCGTAACGTTTTTTTATTTGAAGGCGACTTTCTTTGTCGTTTTCGTTAAGCTCGTGAGGCACCCAGGCTCCCAATTTTTCGGCAAATCCCATTGAACGAAGATGATTGAGAATCGTTTTATGATCGCAGTTCATTTTTTCGGCCAATTCACGACTTGTTCGGTGACCGTCCTCCTTCAAAAGTGCTCAGAAGGTCTTCCGCTGCGGGGCGTGTCGTCGACGTCAAAATCACCATTTTTGAACTTCGCAAACCATTTCCGTGCTGTAGACTCGCCTGTGACATCTTCTTTGTATACGTTGCAAATGTCCTGGGCTGCTTCAGCAGCTTTTTGGCCTCGATGAAAAGCGAAGAAGAGAAGGTGTCGAAAATGTTGCTTTTTACCTGCTGGATATTCCATTTCTAAGTCTCGAAGGTAATAAAGAATTAAACTACTCGAAAAGACGATTAGCACAGTTTTGTAGAGCAGAAATATATACACTTTGACAAACAGCAAAAGATCGTTGTAAAATGAAAGAAAATATAAAAACGCTACGAACTTATTCCCCAACCTAATAGATAGATAGCGCGATGAAGCTTTTAAAAAGGTTGTTAAAAAAAAATTTGTTTGCTAGATACAACGATATTTGATCCTAACGCCACTTGGACTGCCCCATAGCACAACGAAAGACGTAATTCTCGACAACTATCGCATTCCTAAGGTTTGTGTTGCTCGAAGTCGAATGTAATCGATGAGTAAATTGAACAGTATTGTTCCAATATCGAGTACCGATTTATTCGCTATATAATGCTGTTTCAGGACACGATTATTCTTTTGGATTTAAGTAGCGCGAGCTATGACCCAGCTTACTGGGATCAACCGAAGGAATTTCGGCCGCAACGATTTCTAGACGAAAGTGGCCGATTTGTCCAGAACAATGCGAGCATACCTTTCAGCTTAGGTAAACGTTTCAATAAATTAACCACTCGTAAATGGAACAAATCGTTGCTCCAATTACAAGTAATTATATCCATGGTTCTAATTAAAATTCTGCCGTCGTTTCGAGGTCCATTGTTCAAATAAAACATTTCGCGTCGTTTCAAGTCTATGAAATCAAAGATCAATCTATTAATTATGATTACGAATCTTTTATTCCCGATTTCAATTTACACTCTTCTACTTTAAAAACATTTTTGGATCGTCTCCTTTTTTTGTCTGACAGCACGAATACGCCACATCTGAGAAATCAGCCGGTTATAATTCAAACGTAACGTTCCGATAAATAAATTGTATATGCCATTCGGTTGTCAACGTTCACGCATTTGGTCGTGAAAATCATTCTGCGGTGAAATGTTTTCACGAGCGCGCCGGCCGTCTAATTCATTCTTCGTAAATAATTTCGTACGATAAAATCGAATTGTCGTGGTGAATTTGAATAGAAATTTCTGGTGGAGTGACGCCAGGCGAATGAAATTCCGGAAATTTCCACGCGAACACGTCCGCCGAAATGTTTAAAATGCAGGATCTTGGTGACCGCCCGTCCTTGTTTCAGGCAAAAGGCGGTGCCCGGGAGAAATGCTTGCCCGCAGCACCATATTCCTATTCTTCGCCTACGTTATACATTACTTCGACATCGAAATTTCTCCGGAGCATGGTGATCCAGACCCGAATGGTTACGATGGTTTCGCTATATCGCCGAAACCGTATTATCTGAAGCTCGCGAAGAGATCGAACGTCCCGAATTCGGATAGCACGTAAACGGAAATTATTCGGTAGTATGCGGCCGTGAGTATTGCAAATCACAGGGCCGCTAATCTTCGCGTAAATTTTCCATTTTCATAGACTGCCCAATCATTGCCGGAATAGACGAAAAATTTTGATTTGTCCGCTGGAAGACTCTTCGAGATAAAAATTAGAATAAAAATTATAATTATAGATCTGAAGTCTTTCACACAATTACTATTCTAAATACAAGAATGTTTTTAAAAGAACTTTGAAATGTATTTGGCTCATGCAAGCTGACTGCTTTCGACCATTTAATGGTACAGTAAATTCTCCCAAAATTTCCTTCAGCTTGTAAACAGAAATGAGAAGAGGAAATACGATTATTTCAGCCTTACACCTCGTATCAAATCATCTCAAATTGTCCATCTTTGCTTACAAGCTGAAGGAAAATTGAGGAGAATTTACTGTAGCTGGTTCTAGATGCATTCTTTAATAACCGAACCCATTAATTGCCACGATCCCCATTTGGGATTCTGGAATATAATCTTTTCTATGTAATTCTCTTAATATTTCTCTTCACATTCTCAACGCTAGCTTATAGAAAAGTAAATCTGTATAAACAGTCGCAGTTCGAAATAATAATTTACGTCTTACGAATAAAATTCGAGCAAGCCAGATTTTAATCCTTTGCACTCGCGTGGCGACACTGAGGCGCCACTAAAATTTGTTATGTCACGTTTTAAGGTAATTTTTACATTAACAAAGTTTAGATTTTTAAAAATGCTGAAAGTGTAACTGTTGCGCGAGTTACAAAACTCAGCTTCGTATGCATGAAATACGTTTTGCCATATAAAATGAAAATGCTATTTTACGTTTACAGATAAAATAGCTTCGAGCGCGAAGGGTTAACTTGGCCGTAGAACAGTAATTTAATTTTGATTTTATCAAAGTAATTTTGTTCGCGCGGCACACAGAATCGAATGCAACAAGGGCATCGAAATACAAATTACTCCATCTTTGTTCAGCGTCAATATTTTCTGATTGTATAACACGCATTTTCAACATACTTTGTACAGTGGCATGTTGTCTGTTTTCCAGCTTCAAGGAATTATTTACAAATCGAAGCTCGGAACCGATGTAAAAGGACGGAACCGCCACGTGGCGCGCCGACTAAACGTACATACATACATTTGGACTTCCGCGAAACGAGATGATTTCGACGAACACGTAAAACGACTTTCACGCGGCAGAAACAACAAACAATATCGGAGCGAAAAATTTGTTGAAGTTAAACAAGCAGGCGTCTATCCGCCGCCGGATCTACTTCGATCCGGGAAGTTAGGCTACACGGGGGCGGAGAAACGTCGGTGTTACGAGAAACAGGAACATCAATTAAGTGCACGAACTTGCACCAACGCGCCGAGATGCCGCGGAAAATATTTTGTGCCTGCAAAAGCTCTTTGAAGTTCCAAGCTAATGACAAATAATTTGATTCGCCTGCGTTCCTCTTGAAAACCGTCGGGTTGACGACAAATTAATTTACATGTTTCTTCGCGTCGATTCGATAAACGTTCGATATATATTGTAATATTATTACAATATTATAATATTATAATATACTATAATATTATTACAATATTAACCCTTTGCACTCGAAGCCATTTTAACTGTAAATCTAAAATGATTTTTCTGACCTACGCTGTCTCTATTTTATAGGACAGAGCGCATTTTACGCGTGCGAAATCGAGTCTTGCTACTTATGCAACAGTTTATATTTTTAACAATTGTTCAAATCTAAATTTTCTCGATGTAAGAATTATTTGGAATGCGATATATACATTTTTTAGCGGTGCCTCGAGGTCACCGGTCGAGCGCAAAGGGCTAATTTTTTTATCCCCATATTGCGCCAAAAGTAACTCGAGAACAGGATGGCTAAAATATTTTTAAATAAAGTTCGAAACACAGATATTGAAAACGATATTGTATTTTAATCGTGAAATAATGTTGTATTATATTACGTTCAAATGTTGAACGAAATAATTTGAAAATGAAATAATTTGATTTATCTAGATTCCGTTGAAAACTGTATCAGGTTGATGCGAAACTAAATATTCAATGAACCAATCATTTTTGTGCCCATGTTCTACCAAGAATAACTCGAAAACAGAATAAGCGAAATATATTTTTAAATATATTTAGATATACAGAATGTCCCAAAATTATTGTACAAGCGGAAAATGAGGTATTCCTGTGGTCATTTGAAGTAACTTTTACCTTAGCGAAAATGCAATCCGCGGCTTCGTTTACGAATTATTAGCGAAAAAGGGTGACCAATGAGAGGCGAGATTAGCTGGCGCGAGGCGGCCGAGCCGATCAGCGGAACTGGGCTTCGACCGCTCGTTGGCTCGGCCGCTTCGCGCCAGCCGTGCTGGCCCCTCATTGGTCACTGTTTTTCGCTAATAACTCGTAAACGAAGCCATGGATTGCATTTGTGCTAAGGAGAAAGTTATTTCAAATAACCTCAGGAACAATTTCTCGCTTGTACAATAATTTTTGAACGCCTTATGGAAAAAGTTTCTTGGAAGGTAAATATGCTATATTTTATCAGACAAGCATTATCGAGGCACCAATAGCGCGTCGTAAGGCTTCGGCGCGATCGAAAAGCCGGGTATAATTTCTACGGATTTTGGTTCCTTGCCAGGGACAGGAAGTAAAGTAAACTTCTGCATCACGCCGACGAAGATGACGAACATCGCAGTCTTGGCCAGAATCGCGCCTGGACATTTTCTTCTTCCTACAAGCAATAACAATAACATTTAGACTGCAACAATTTGTTGATAATGTTTCATCGGTTCCTCGGGCATATTCGACGAGCCTCGTATTATCACAAGTAGAAATTCGATATCCGGAAGTTACTACGTTCCTCGTAACATTCGATTACGCATTTCAATCGCGACGTAGAATCAGTTTAACGACGTTCTCCTCTCGCGTGACGTTTCCGACTTTCATAAAGATATCCGGAAACGAACGAGAACGAGCTGTCGTTTCTGCCGAGGCAGTTATAGTTACAGTGACACTTTAATGAGCCGACATTCACGCGCGCTAAAGATTCTGACGCGCGTCGACGCCGACCGCTCTAGGTTCGATAAACTGGTCTCTATTTTTCTGTTCGGAATTTTTGGTCATTCTTTATACGAAATATCTGAAATAATTAAATTAATAATAAATTAATAATAATTAATTATCTCGAAATATCGTAGACAACTTGGATCCACGCTACAACGGTTCTTAGCTATAGAGTCCAAGAAAAAAGTGAAATTAAAGGGATTTTTGAAACCTCCTCATCGACGACGATAGCCAATAAAAAGATGCGCGTCACACGTTTTAACAAAAAATCATCGCTAACGGAAATTCTGTATATATTTTTTAAAGTCTGAAACATTGTATCGTTGCTAAAAGATTTAACATTATTCCTGACGTAATAAAATACAGCTATATTGGAAAAATTAGTTAAATTATCAACGTTTTTTCAACTTTTACGCAAATGTGGCACCGGTCGGAAAAATATTGAAAAATAAGGACCATGCTATTGTGTTTAAAAAAAAACGTAAGCGTCCAGCTTGTAGAGAGTTTCATACCCATCCCGAAAATTATCGAATTTACATCGGGTTCGTAGATCCCGTTCTTGATGTGCCTTTCTGGATTAAATTTGTCTGGCTCGGGATGCAATTCCGGATCCATGTTCACGGAGTAATTATTAATTACGACAACGGTGTCCTTCGGTATTCTGTAACTTCCGAGCTTCGTGTCGCAGAGAACTCGCCGCGGAGCGATCAGTGGGAACAACGGCCACATACGCATCGTCTCGCTAATTATCGCCTCCGCATACGGCAACCTGCAACAATAAAGAATTTCGGCATCCGTACGCTGTGCCTTTTTTCAGCCCTATGCAGTCCGATGCGACAGTAAATGCACCGACGAATGCAAGCAACACCGAGGAAGACTTCGATATCGAATAGAAACTAAGCTGCATTTACGACAGATTTTGTGTTAACCCTTTGCACTCGAGCGGTGACTCCGAGGCACCACTAAAAAAAAAAATTGTTACATCACGTTCCAATATAATTTTTATATTATCAAAGTTTAGATATAAAAAATTGTTAAAGGTCTAACTGTTGTATGAGTCGCAAGACTAAATTTCATATGCATAAAATGCACTTTGTCGTGTAAAATGGAAATACCATAAGTCGAAGAAATTAATTTAGATTTACAGTTAAAATGGCTTCGAGTGCAAAGGATTAACAACACTTTCGAAACTTATTAGATCAGCGTAATGGAAGATCCTGATATTAAAAGCGGTTAATCACTTTAATGAAACCTAACGTCGACGAGATCGGCCCATTAAGAACGCTAACGCGAGTGCGATCATAATTTCGCACTTAATTACTTCAATCTGTCCGCTGTGTCAGGAAGTCTATCCGGTGGAATCGCCGAGTCGATTTCTTTTTGTAGCTTCCGCTGCACGTCCTGATGTATTATCATAGTAAGGAACAGGAACTCGAGCGTCGTCCCGATGGTCATAAATCCGGCGATGAACAAATCCACCAGAATCACCAATAACTGTTCTTCTAGAAATGTAAAAAACGTTCTATATAAAACGAATTGCCGGCGATGGGCCACCTTTCGCATCTACGACGAAGAAATAGTTCGAGCGACGTATCTGTGAATGCTCCATGTACCTGTGTAAACTGTGTCGGCGCCTTGGTTGTTCATGATCTCTGAGATGAACTTATCGATTATGTCCGTCACCCTTCCAGGAATGTAGTTTTTCTTGTGATCGATGATGGATTCCTGTGAGAGAATGTCGCAAGATAACCGATTCAATTATATGCATTCGAAACATAATTTTGGCAGACACCTATTTACTCCAAGTGACTCTTCGATTGTGAAAAATGGTGAGTAATGTAATATCGAAGAGAATAAGTAGCTGCTAAGAAAAAAGCTTCGATCTACCTCGTAGATTCACCCGCAAAACATTGCCATAGTTTCAGGAAATGTTTCAGCTTGTTAAAAGATATATCGAACTAATTGTTTAACACTAAAGCTGTCATGCTTTGTTGTTGGAATTGTTGTTGCAATTATAGAGACACTTTCGTGCAAAATAATTGATCCAATTTGTTAAGTCGAGCGTGTGTATTATAATAAAATTATTTGTAATTAATTAAAAATTATTCTTTTACTTTATATTCTAATAAAAATTGCGAAAAGTTTGAAGGAATTTATTCTTACTATTCTTGAAAAGTACAACGCATCAGTTACTTTTAGTGCTCGGTAGATTTATTGTTAATGTTATTACATTGTTTTGATTACCGTTCTTTAAGGAGATCGTGTATGCCAAAACTTATTGAAAGCGCCGCCGTTTCGAAAATCACAGTCTAATTAAAATTAATCTTCGTTCGAGCTGCTCACCATAAAGAAGTCCTTAAGCTCGTCGTGCAGCGTGACTAGAGGCTTGTAACCAGTGGCCTCGGGCGCAATGTGACGAATCCAAGGGAAAATGGTCAGAATCCCACCAGTCACGTCGAACAAGCGCGCCCGATCGTCCATCAAGTTCATCAAATGTAACCTGCAGACCGACATTCGAAAGACAGCAATTAATAATCACCACCGAATGTGCACCCAATAGATCCACTCGCGAGTCGCTTTTAAAAGGTCGTCGCAGATCGCAAATATTATATATATATATATATGCTATATATATTAATATATGCTATTAATTATTTATTATATTAATAATATATTATATAATATATACTGTGTTATATATTATATATATAGGGTGTCCCAAAAATGTATATATATATATGTATATGTATATATATATATAGGGTATTATTGTTATATATATAGGGTGTCCCAAAAATGTCACGCAATCCGAAAGTAGGGGATTCCTGAGATCATTTGAAGCAACTTCTTCCTCAGCGAAAATGCAATCCGCGGCTTCGTTTACGAGTTATTAACGAAAAACAGTGACCAATCAGAGGTGAGATCATTTGGCGCAAAACGGCCGAGCCAATGAGCAGAACTGGGCTCCGTGCACTCGTTGGTTCGGCCGCCGCGCGCCAGCCGAGCTCGCCTCTTATTGGTCAGTAAACTCGTAAACGAAGTCACGCAGAAAATTTTCGCAAAGGAAAAAGTTGCTTCAAATGACCTCAGAAACCTCTCATTTCCAGATTACGAGACATTTTCGGGACGCTCTGTATATATATAACGCAATATTATCGTCGCATCCGATCTTTCTGCGAATCACTTTGGGATCACGAGTTAGTTCTATTTGCAACTTCGGTGATACAGTAGATTCCGATTATTTGGGACTTGAATTCGGAGTAAAATAAAAATCCGCAGTTAAATGGATTTTAAGGAAGTCCGGTTAAATTCTGAAGTACTTGTTACAGTCTCCAATTTAACGTCTGCTTTATTCAAATGTGTAAAATAGGTTCCAATAAAAATAGAAATTCGACGAAGGTTACGTAGAGATAGGAACGTTACGCGGACATAGAGTGAAGAATTCAATACTACAATTTAAAATGGTACGAAGAAAATGTAATAGTATAATGTACGGTAATATTGGGTTGGCAACTAAGTAATTGCGGATTTCACTCATAGATGGCTCCAGTTGAATTTTTAGGTTTGCAGACGTAGTACAAATGTAAAACACATTTTGTTATTTGATAGTTGGCAATTCAGCTGTCAATCAGTAAAAAAAGTTTTTTGATCGGTTGCGTAGTTTTCGTTTGGCGTTCGTTGAAAAATGGAAAATGAAAAGGAACATTTTCGTCATATTTTGCTTTTTTATTTCCGCAAAGGATAAACCGCATCGCAAGCTCATAAAAAGTTATGTGTTGTTTATGGTGACGAAGCCTTAAAAGAACGGCAGTGTCAAAATTGGTTTGCCAAATTTCGTTCTGGTGATTTTTCACTCAAAGATGAAAAGCGCTCTGGTCGTCCAGTTGAAGTTGATGACGCCCTAATCAAAGCAATAATCGATTCGGATCGTCACAGTACAACACGTGAGATTGCAGAGAAGCTTCATGTATCACATACATGCATTGAAAATCACTTAAAACAACTTGGCTATGTTCAAAAACTCGATACATGGGTTCCTCACGAACTGAAAGAAACGCATTTAACGCAACGCATTAACAGCTGCGATTTGCTA